ATTCAGTTACACTGAGCTAATGGTAGGAATGGAATGCAGAAAAAGGTCCGTGTTTATAAGTCTTACCATAGCAGCCAAGGTCACTGATAAGACCTTTTAGGTTCCACAAGCGAGGAGTCGCAAAGGGTCGCACTTGCAGGGAGAAGCGGACAGGACAGGTGACCCGATACTGACCAACACGGTATTCCATGCCATGCACATCATACTCAGTTTAAAGCTGGGGGATCACGAGGGTCTCGCTCTCTTCGTCCATGGCTGCCTTCTGAAAAGGAACCTGCTCCTTGTCCTGCCTGTGATCCTGATCCAGATTCCGATCTGTGCATTCCTGAGTCCAGCTCCTGTCTACTGCTGAGTCCACTCCGGGACTTCCTGGTGCTGCCTGCCAGCTGTTGGCAGGACGCCAGCGCCCAGCACCCAGCTCCAGGAAACTCAGCATGGGTTTTATGTGTTTTGTTTAATTTCTCTTGTTATTAATATTATTAGTATTATTAGTGTTATTAGTAAAGCTGTTTATATTCAATTCGTAAGTCTCTCCCCCTTTTCCTCTGTTTCCTTTGCTCTGGTGGGAGTGCAGGAGTTAACAGGGAGCATCTGCCACTCTTTATGGCCGCCCTGCACTAACTGGTGACACACACCACAAAGAAACTCCACATCCTGCTAACCTACAGATGATCTACTTTCCCACTTCCATGACTAAGTAGAATCATTTTCACCTAAGCAGCACTAAAAGAAAGCACAGGGTCATCTGACAGGCAATACAACTACAACGGATAAAAAGTAACTCATTAGATTTCAGTACTGACCCAGTCAGATAACAGAAACAACATGAATGAAAATGGGAAAAGGTAGTGCTCCTACATAGTGAAACACAAGTTGTCTTTGGCTCCTGTAGCACTCGGGTAGGCTTGGAACTACATTTCAGAAAAGTCAAATTCAGCTGTTCAATTTTGTCCAATTATAGCCAGCATTCTGCCAGTCTCTTGACAACTTCTTTCCGGAGGGTGACTTTTTTAAAGCTAAATTAAATTCCTATCTTTCTACTCTTTAATGTGACCGATATATGCAGTTACACAACAGAGACCTTTTTAGTATTTGTCCCAGAATGTGCCAACAATTTTTGCACATTTTGCATTGAGAGCACTAGTACCAGAAACGTAATATTGGAGTTCACTGCCTTTTTCAGTCAGCTCTCATATACATAAACACACAAATCATCAATGTTCACAGCAGAGTTTTCTCTCAACACAGATTAAAGAAATTACCAGAAGATCACAACTGACAGTCAAGTGCTCCACACAAAACAAGGGGGAACTGCGAGTTGCTCATTTTTTTCACTGCAGCATTTATCAACTCCAGTGCTAGGATTCAAGAACCATATCCTAATGCAGTTAATGAAGCAACTCACAAGGTTGCAAGTTTATAACAAGAGTAGATTACACATGGCTGGTCAGACAATTTTGTGCTACAGCTTTATTAACAAGCATCCCCCATAAGTACCATGCATCTTTATAGGGTGCTACTGGATGTTCTACAGCCAAAGCTTTTCATTTCACGCATCATAAATGCACCAGTAAAATAAAACAGAAGTTTGATGCTAAAGGGTCTGTTCTGAACATCACTTGACTATGCACATTCAACAGCAACGTTCAAAAGCCTCTGTCTTTTGTAGGTATCTCACATCTACATAAGACCTCAAGTACTCTCAAGCCTGTTACACGAAAAGCGAGCAAAGCCTGTTTTTATGTCACCCTATGATGCCAGTCCTGATGCTAGCCCCATATTGTAAGGGGGGCACTGGATTGGTACAGCAACACATGGTCAGGTTCTGCACAGCAGTTGTAGGACAAGTGCATTATTACAAACAGTCTGTTACTCAGTTGGTATTATCAAAAACATTGCAATGAGGCACCTACACACAATGCCAACCATACTCATGCCAGCAGCCCAATGTTCCTTTATGATTTTTTCAAAAGCGAAGTCCATTTGCGTATCCTTCTCATAAGCGATCGTAATGGAAATTAACTGCCTACCAGTGACATCAGCCAGCAACTCAAGTCTACCATTGAATATTTCAGGGGTCTTTTCTGTAAAACAGAAGTAATTTTACTTCCAGCAGTGGGATCACCACTGTGAACCATGCTATATGTACCCTCAGTACAATCTGAGGAGGGGATGGCTGGTTGACACTGCATCTGTGGCTAACTCTGACAGCTACCCCATGCATACCTTGTTTGAGCACTTCTATACAAGCCATACATCTGTCCTGGTAAAATGCGAGGTGAAACGGAGTGTCTTATACAAACGTCACTCAAAGAGGAAACACTGGGAAGACTACAAAGCCACCTGAACATCGGCTACAGTACTGGTAGAGTTCTTAGCCTATTCACGGAATTTCACAAAAATGTGAAAGAACACAGAGGCTTGAAATGTCTCTTACCATCACACAGGGTAACACATAGGACTGCTTAAGCTAGAAACCCATTGGGACACAAGGTACATCAGGAACAGAAACATAGAATGATAGAATAGTTTAAGTTTGAATGGACCTTTATAGATCATCTAGTCCAACCCACCTGCAATGAGCAGGTACATCTTCAACAAGCTCAGGTTGCTCAGAGCATCGTCCAACCTCACCTGGAATGTTTCCAGGGATGAGGCATCTACAACCTCTCTAGGCAACTTGTTCCAGTGTTTTACTATACCCATTCTAAAAAATTTCTTCCTTATAATCTAGTCTGAATCTACCCTCTTTTAGTTTAAAACCATTACCCCTTTTCCTATTGCTACAGGCCCTACTAAAAGGTGTGTCCCCATGTTTCTTCTAAGCTCTCTTACTTAAAGTGTTGAAAGGCTGCAATAACTTCTCCCCAGAGCCTTCTCTTCTCCAAGCTGAACAGCCCCAACTCTCTCAGCCTTTCCTCATAGGAGAGGTGTTCCAGCCCTCGGATCATTTTTGTTGCCCTCCTCTGGACCTGTTCCAACAGGTCCATGTCTTTCCTGTATTGAGGGCTCCAGAGCTGGATGCATTACTTGACGTGAGGTCTCACTGGAGCGGAGTAGAAGGGCAGAATCACCTCCCTCGACCTGCTGACCATGCTTCTTTTGATGCAGCCCAGGATATGGTTAGCTTTCCAGGCTGTGAGTGCATGTTTACAACTCAGGTCCAGTTTTTCATCCACCAGGCTCATGTCAAGCTTTTCATTCACTAGTCCTTCTCCTCAGGCCTGCTGTCAACCCCATCATCCCCCAGCCTGTATTGGTACTGTGAGTTGCCCTGACCCAGGTGCAGGACCTTGCACTTTGCCTTGTTAAACCTCAGGAGGTTCACATAGGCTCACTTCTCAAGCTTGTCCAGGTCCCTCTGGATGGCACCCCATCCCTCAAGTGGGTCAACTGCACCACTCAGCTTGGTGTCAATGTGCAAACTTGCTGAGGGTGCACGCAATCCCACTGTCTACATCACTGATGAAGATATTAAACAGTAGTGGTCCCATTATGAATCCCTGAAGGACACTTCGTGTCACTGATCTCCATCTGGATATTGAGCCAGTGACCACTACTCTCTGGACATGACCATCCAGCCAATTTGTACCAGTACAGGCTCGGGGCTGACCTGCTGGGAAGCAGCTCTGTGGAGACTTCAAGGAATTTGAGGGAAAATTTAAGCCTACATATATCTGAAACATGTGCGAGTAATGCTTCAATGTCTGAAAATATCTAGAGGACTACTATATCAGAGAATACACAGGCCAAAAGACAAAAGGGACAAGAGGAGATGAACTGCATTTCTAAAGCAGGTGTGTTCCAGTTCAAGGTGGGCTTCTATTACAGAGAGATGCCAACAATAATAGCAAAGGAATAGAGATCTAAAAAATAGTCCTATAAAATATTTTTCTTAAGTCCTAGAACTGCATCTTAAAACTAGGTTAACATATGCACTTCTACTCAACCCAAAGTGGGGATCTCAGACCAATCTGAAATTTACTGTTTATCAGACTAAACCAGAATAGAATAGATGTGGCTCTTTATTTCTAAAGAGCCTATGAATGTAGACTTTCATAGTGATGTCTATGAAAGTGTTACCTTATTACCACCAAGCATCACCATCATACCAGCAGTAAAATATGGCTCCAGGACAGACCTATGAAGAAACCATGTAAAAGACAAACTGCAAACACTAGCGAAAAAGGCAAGTAGGCTTGTGACCCAGACCTACTTGGAAAGGCAGGTTCCACATCAGACTCTATCCTCCAAGAAAGGAAACAACTTTCTTTGCACTTGTACATCCTCGACCAAGGTCAAGGGGTTTCTTGTTCTCCGGGACAAAAAAACCTGCAAACTTTTCCCCTGCTGGAAAGGCAAGTGAACTTAGGTCCCTGCCCATGGCAGCAGGGTTGGACTAGATGATCTTTGAAGGTCCCTTCCAACTCAAAGGATTCTATGATTCTGTTCTATGATATGTTGAAGCCAACTTCTGTAACGTACCCTGACTACCCTACGGCAGGTGAGTCAAGTTCAAAGCAGCACTAAGACTGGAAAAATGCTCATTTCCTAATTCTGTACATCATTCATCCTTGACCCTGGGCTTTTTAATTTCAAGAATTGTAGCAATACTGTACAGGTCTACCACAGTAAATCACATGAAGCCTTCCTTCCCTGTATAAAGCAACAGGAATAAAATCCCCAAGCAATGCAGTTGCTTATTCAGCCTGAAGCAGAACCAGCAGCAGCAGTTCAAATCAGAACCAGAAAAAAAAGCCCTTAAATTTATTTAGCTAAATGGGCACCATATGAAGACTGTCAGTCTCTTAACTTCCCCAAACTGCAAGGTCCTAGTTCAGTGACCGTCACTATACATCATACAGACTGACAGTCTCAAATTCTGGGTGCCCTGCTGAGCTGAGCAAGCACAGCAACAGACTGGATCATTTTCTCTGCTTGCACCAGAGAAGTTATGGCTTACAAGTTACACTTATTATGTTTTACTGATAAGTACTTACTTCAGTGAAAGAGAATAGTCATGCTTGCTCGTTTGACTATTTCTTACAAGGTAGCTACACTCTTTACACAAACGTAACAGCTTTTCTGCATCTGTCCGACTGATTGCTCCATGATACCATCTAGGAAAAAGCAGAGAGATAAATACACACGCATATTCCAACTCATACTTCTTTCACTACTTCATTTCTTTAGGGTATGAATAATGGTTAGCTTTAAGATCTAACATATCATGGATAAAAAGCACATTGCTTGTGTTAGCTGACATTAACTCTACAACTTGTGGAGGCCTGTAGTTGCTGTCTGCTGAAAGAAAAAAAACTTAGATCAGGAGAACATGCAACTGTATTGGTGTACATATTTATGCAAGAAATTCCCACTCAGAGCAACAGATTACAATCTCTGTCTCGCAAGCAGTATATCCACAATATACACATTACTCTATTTCATCCCTGTGATACATGAGTATTTCTACTAATATACAAAAGAACTAAAAGAATGCAAACAAAAAGAACATTGCATCTGAAGAACATGGTGGGAAAGATTTGCTATACAATAAATACAATAAATATTTGAGACAGGAGAGAAGTGACAATGTGTGAAGATCTACAACAAAGGCAATTGTTCTAAACACAGCTGTGACAACTCAGAGTGCTTTAAGCAAATCTCTGGTGCATCTGCGGAGTGGGTGTGATCAACTCAGGGAAGAAAGGAACTAGGGAGATGTGAGCCCTTCACTCAACTGACCACTGCAAACAAAGAACCTCCTCAGCACACGCTGCTTTGTATCAGCAATTAAAATCTCCCAGTCCAGTAGCAAATGCTTTCCTGAGCAGTGTAATGTGCCTGGCCCTGCACTGGGCCATTCACATCTCTGAGAAAGATCTGTCCCTTTCCGCAGTTGCCAGATGCACTTTGAAGCACGATGTAACACCACGTCTGCCTAAGCAGGATAATTCAAAATAAAATATGACCTCACCAAAACCAGGGAGATACCCTGGAATCTGATATTCAGAGGGAAGTATTTCATACATTCTTCAGATCTGGTGTTCTCCAGTTGGCAGAGATTAATGGAAAAAGAATGCAGTGCTGGTTCCCAGAAGGAAAACCTGCTTTTACAACAGCAAAGTATGAAGGGAGAACATCAGATTCAGAAAAGATGTCTGGAAGCTGTTTTCGCTACAGCTGAGAGTAAAAAGCAGTATCTAGAAGTGTAATTGCTTGTGAATAATACGCCCATGTAAATGGGACACTCAGATTCCTCCTGTTCCAGCTAGCTATTAAGATAAGCATAGTGCCATAACCAGCTTGAAGTTCCCAACTAATTTCATTTTTCAACTGTATTGGGTCTGTTGGCCCTGGGTGTGTCTATTTTTAAGATGTCAACCTACAAGAATTTGTGCAGAAAGGTCAAAGATTCAAATGTCAATGATGTGATCACAAGATAGTGAAATGACAACTTGTGAAAGCTACCAATGCAAAAGCATGGGACAAAAACCTGAAGACATGCATGTCTTCTAAGACATCCTGGAAAATATAGGCACACAATGCAAACCTGAAAGCAAAATTCAAACACAAACACACACTTTGACCTTTATGAGGATCTCCTCACAGGATTGAAGGCATGCTTATTTTAGTTTATTGAGTGTTCTTTCTGATGTCCCTTACTTTCTCAGTGGGCAGGTTTCAGCCACTAAGTGGCTACATCTCCACTGAAGTCAGGGCAGCTACATCAATTTTACAGTAAGTATAATGAGTTACTACAGCTCATATAATGCACAACACCACTCTGTTTCTGAACTGATCAGAGCAAAACAAGAAATCACTAAATCTTGTATATAAGGCCAGGAGGGATTCATTTTAGTAAGACAAAGGACACAGCAGAAGACACTTTCTTCTGTTCACTGTTACTGAGGAAATGGAACAAATTCATTCAATTCAACTCATTCCAGATCATCATCAAGCAAGTGGAGGAAAAGAAGGTTATCCGGAGTAGTCAACATGGATTCACCAAGGGGAAATCACGCCTGGCCAATCTGATAGCTTTCTATGATGGCATGACTGGCTGGGTAGATGAGGGGGGAGCAGTGGATGTTGTCTACCTCGACTTCAGCAAGGCTTTTGACACTGTCTCCTATAACATCCTCCTAGGGAAGCTCAGGAAGTGTGGGCTGGATGAGTGGTCAGCGAGGTGAATTGAGAACTGGCTAAATGGCAGAGCTCAGAAGGTTGTCATCCGCTGCGCAGAGTCTAGTTGGAGGCCTGTCACTAGTGGTGTTCCCCAGGGATCAGTACTTGGCCAAGTCTTATTCAGTCAATGGCCTGGATGAAGAGTGTACCCTCAGCAAGTTTGCTGATGACACAAAACTGGGAGGAGTGGCTGATACAGTGGAAGGCTGTGCTGCCATTCAGCCAGACCTGGACAGGCTGGAGAGTTGGGCACAGAGGAACCTGATGAAGTTCAACAAGGGCAAGTGCAGGGCCTGCACCTGGGGAGGAACAACCCAATGCACCAGTACAGGCTTGGGGCGGACCTGCTGGAGAGCAGCTCTGCAGAGGGGGGCCTGGGTGTCCTGGTGGATGACAGGTTGACCATGAGCCAGCAGAGTGCCCTTGTTGCCAAGAAGGCCAACAGTATCCTGGAGTGCATTAAGAAGAGTGTGGCCAGCAGGTCGAGGGAGGTTCACCTCCTCCACTACTCTGCCCTAGTGAGGACCCATCTGGAGTGCTGTGCTCTGTTCTGGGCTCCCCAGTTCAAGAAAGATGAGGAGACAGTCCAGCGGAGGGCTACGAGGTTGATGAGGGGGCTGAAGTATCTCTCGTACGAGGAAAAGCTGAGGGAGCTGAGCTTGTTTAGCCTGAAGAAGAGAAGGCTGAGAGGGGGCCTTATAAATATCTGAAGGGTGAGTGTCAGGAGGATGGAGCCAGACTCTTTTCAGTGGTGCCCAGTGACAGGACAAGGTGCAATGGGAACAAACAGAAGCATAGTAAGTTCTGTCTGAACATGAGGAAGAACTTCTTCACTCTGAGGGTGACGGAGCTCTGGAACAGATTGCTCAGGGAGGTTGTGGATTCTGCTTCTCTGGAGATATTCAAGACCCGCCTGGACAAGGTCCTTTGCAGCCCGTGCTAGGTGACCCTGCTTTGGCAGGGGGATTGGACTAGATGACCCACAGAGGTCCCTTCCAACCCCTAACATTCTGTGATTCTGTGAATTCCCCTGGGTCCATGAGTTACTAATTTCATAGCTACAGATTCCTGAATCAAAAGCAATTAAAAGTATTTTCTGGATATATTATCGCACCTTGGTGCTTCTGCCTGTTTGGGAAACTTCCCAGCCTACCTATCCACTTGTCAACCTGCATGCTTCCTTTCCTCTATGTCTTGTAGTCCTTTTGGCCTGGAGGCAAATGAGGAACAAGTTGAAAGCTTGTGGGTTAGAATTAAGGGACAGGCTCACAAGGGTGACATTACAGTGGGTGTGTACTACGGGCCACCTGACCAGGAGGAGGA